CTTCCTGCTCTCTCTACAGTGTGAACTATTAGTCACTCACTTAGCCATTCCCATGGGGCTGCAGCACCCAGTCTCATTTGGATGAGTCACTTGGAAGGCTCTGAAGCAAAATGCTGGTGAAAGAAGCTGTTCAAAGAGGGACTTTTGTCAGTATCCTTTGTAGGGCCAAATGATGTGAAGGGATCCTAGCAACTGGAGGTGGAAGCTTAAGTAAATGTAAAGGAGTGGAGTTCTCAAAGGCACTGAGCTTTTCCTACTATGTTGTAATAACTAATTTTTAAAAATTCAAATTACATTTTTTATTCACTTCTGCACAGATGTGCGTGTACCCCTGGCATACATGTGTAGGTCAGAGCATATCTTGGAGGAGTTGGTTCTCTCCTTCTAGCATCTAGTCCTGGGTATTGAACTCAGGTTGTCATTCTGGGCAGTGGGGACTTTTACCCCTGAGCCACATGAGCTCTTAAATGACACCACTAAGATTCTGTATTAACCAGAACTTTTTCTGACTGTGTAAGGACCAGTTGGCTCTCTCTTATAATCATCTTCCCCTGAAACATCTGGAACAAGCAAAGTTTAAGTTTAAGTAGATTCTACTGTACCTATGGCCTGGTAGGCAAACCAGTCATGCAGGGATTTTTTTTTTTTTTCTGGCAAAGTTTATCTTTGAAGTTAGATACTTAAAAGAAGTTGAAGAGGCTCTTGAGAGATGGTTCCACAGTGAAGAACACTTGTGGCTCTTTCAGAGGACCTGGGGTTCAATTTCCAGCACACACATAGTTGATGCCAGTCATCTATAACTTCTGGTCCAGAGGCTAAAGGATACAACTCCCTGTTCTGGCTTTCACTGGCACTGTATATACATGCTAAGCAGACACACAGGCAAGTAAATCACTCATACACATAAAAATAAAAATAAATTATTTTTTAAAAGAATAATTGGAGAATGTAAAGATATTGACAGAAGATCTTCCTGGCTCAGTGCAAAATGATGACATCACAGAATGCATGGGGAAGGGTAACAGGGGATCTTTGCAGGAACTGTCATGTGGAAACACTACCACAGTGATAAAATAGTACCAAAGTAGGAGAATCTACTTCCTTTTAAGCTGTGATTCTCAACCTATAAGCCATAACCCCAATGGGGTTGTGCAATTCTATCACAGCGATTACCTAAGACCATAGAAAAACACAGATATTTATGTTTATAATTCATAACAGTAGCAAAATTATAGCTATGAAGTAGCAATGAAAATAATTTTATGGTTGGGGGTCATGTGGAACTGTGCTAAAGTGTCATGGCATTAGGTAGGTTGAGAACCACTGCTGTAAAGCGTTAGAATGTCTTTCAATGTACCCAGCTCCTCTGTCATCCTATAGCAACCTCTTAATAGATGCTGTCTGGTGATACAGACTAAATTGAACAGTAAGGCTTCTCTTTGGTATCTCCATTGCTATTCCTTTTGTTACTATGTTTTCCAATTCAGCACCATACTTGCCAGGGTTTGTCTTCCTCTCACATTATCTGCTGTTCTTTGATGCCTTTTCTTCAGCCTGACAGTCGTCGTCACGCAGCATTCTACTTCCCTAACTTCCACAGTGGCCTGTCCTGTGCTGTCTCCGTGTCTTGATGGGTGGTTGAGTAATGACACCCTTTGATGAGCAGTGGATGCTGAAATTTCAAATGAAGGCTGGTACTCACCGTGTTTCTATGCCTGGAATGTAAAAGGCCAGTTTGGATCGACATTCTTTTTTAACTTTGAGGATTAAGTCCATTGGGAAAAATTGGAGTCTTTTCAGGCTTATGGAAGAACAATCAGTCAGCAGAGGGGTCTATGTTTTCTCAAAATGTCCCTTCCAGGTGACTCCCTGACTCACCTTGGCTCAGGTTACTGCTTCCCCACTAATTCCAGAACTCGGTGGACCCTCCTACTACAAGGTATAGAATACATTTTAGAGCAGTGGTTGGACAGTCTACGGTTCTCTATGACAGAGCTTCTTAAGAAGCATGATTCAGTGCTAACTCTCATAAAGGGTTATTGCTGACCTCATGAAACTTGCACACACTTAGGGCATCTGCCACTCCCTGTGCCCTCTCCATGTCACCATGTCTTAGCTGCATGGCTCTTCCTTCTGTGCTGTTTTACAGTAAAGGGTTCCCCAGGAACAGTTGAAGTGACACACAGTGGGCAACCAGACATTTTCACATTAAGCCTACACTTTCCTTTCTTTATAATAGACCCTTTCAGAACACAGAGTTGTCATCCATAAGACAGACGATCTTTAAAACTCGTGAAGAGAAACGTCTTTCAACTGTTTTTGAAGGGGCAGAACATGACACAGAAAGAGAATCCGAGAAACTCTTTCTCCTTACGCACTTGGCTCCCTATCTGGCTGGCTGACTTCTGAAACAGTTGGAGCTACAAATGCTAAATCTTGGCTTAAAGATGTCCTCAGTGAGACATAATACCCCAAGTTTAAAAGGAAAAGAAAGCTAAAAACATTTAGTAAAAGTTAATAGTGGCTAAAGTTCTAAGTCTGTGCTTGTGAAATTCAATGCTTCAATCGCTAATTTGCCAAGGCATGATTTACTCACAGTCCATAAACACATCTAAGTGCTCAGTAAGGAACACACAATCTTTGAAAAAGTTTTGGGACTAAAATATCAACTCCTTCAATGTAGAGGATAGAAAGATCATGATGTGTATTCATTATATATACACATTATTATATAAATAAGATACATTATAATATTATATATAATATTATATATATATGTGTACTCTGGCTGTTCTGGAACTTACTCTGTAGACCAGGCTGGCCTTGAATTCAGAGATCCCCATGCCTCTGTCTCCCAAGTGCTGAGATTAAAGGTGTGCGCCACTATCCCCAGCTTATGATGTATATTTTTTAAGTGGACATTAGTGAAAGGGAGCCATGACCAGAAGTGATGTCTTCTTCCATGTTGGGGGCTTTATATATTTAGATGTGACAGGGAAGAAGAGCTGACAGCTGTTTCCAGGGATGGAGCCCTTTAGATAGCTTTAAGTCCTTAAAGCTTGTGGATTAATATAGATGAATGAAACTCAGGCAGTTTGAATCTTACACTTAGAGTCTAAAGTGGAAGGCCTGACTTTGTCCAATGGAGAGTTTCAAGGCAGAGAATGAGGAATTTCCTTCCTAACCACTAAAGCAGTACACAGTTATGGTATAAAGCTTGGGAAGAAAAGCAGAAGTCAGAATAGGTGGGTGGGGGGTGGATGGCTCAGCTGGGAAAACGCTTACTGTGCAAGCATGAGAGCCCTTAGCTTCCACGTGAAACCCTGAGCATATCACTTGTCCTGCAATTCTAGTGCTAGGAGGTGAGGTAGAGGATAACAGAGACAGGCAGGTCCCTGGGGCTTGCTGGCCAGTTAGTCTAGACAGAACAGTGAGCTCTAGGTTCCGTAAGTGACTCTGAAAGCAATGAAATAAGAAACCCGACATGAACCTTTGGATTCTTCATGCAAATGCACAGGTGGGCTCACCTACACACGTGGACACACATGCATAACACACACACACACACACACACACACACACACACACACACACACACACACACACACACACACACACACACACACACACACTCTTTTTTTTAAAACCAGAATAAAATTGCATCCAAGCCTGTCAATCAAACACAATTGCTGTGATATTAATACACATCACATCTTCTCTCTGGTATAATTGGCCAATTTTCTTTAATAAGGCATCATTCCTAGTCCACGTGGTGTTTGAATTTGCTTCTTTGATTTAAAAATATATCCTGAAGTTTTCTGGAAGGAGATTTCTGGAAAAAAAGAGGGTTTAAGATCATTTAGAACAGAGAAAGAACTAGAAAGAGGGAAACTGGAAGCGAAGACACTGCAAACCAAAGACCACTTTCAGGGTTCTCTGTCAGATGGGAATGTGTATGTGGGAGGTAGGGGGACAAAGACCTCATTGTCTTTATAATTGAAAGATCAAATTCTATAGGCATATATATGCATTAGATCAAATTCTAGAGGCATATATATGCATTAGATCAAATTCTAGAGGCATATATATGCATTAGGGCTGAGGACATCAGCCTGGCTCCAGTTCCTTCTTCCACATGCTGAGCACATTTGGACATGCTTCTGAACATCCCTGAGTCTTTTATTAGAGAAAAGTGAGTGCTTAGTGTAGGTGAGTCTCAGGTGCCTCATAGACCGCTTTTTACCCTGACAATAACCTTGTCAGGGAAGGAATTATAAACTATAACTTTCACATGAATCCACAGAATGGTCATGGGGTTAATCTTCCCGGCATGTGGCAGAGCCAACACTCAATCCCAGATCCACTCTCCTTCCTTGTCACATTGGAGTGTCTTGCTCCTCACATGTGACACAGAGCTACTGTTCCATTTTCTTCCTGCCTCACAGTATGTCAGGAAGATGAATGACCCATCACATCTGGAATATTTTGTAACTGTTAAACAGAGTGGACAGAATTTTGTTTATGTCATCTCAAACAAGCCTGGTTGATTTTAAGCCATCCACTTTAATACACACTTGGGTCACCTGCCTACCCTTCACACATTACATGAGTGTGAGGTCTCAGAGTGTCACCTCAAAGATGGCCGAAGGTGAGCTGTATCTGGCACGGCAGTCTTTGGTACCCTATCATTTTTCCTGTTTGCAGATCAGCCCTCGGTTCCTTCTCAGTGAAGTTCATGTCAGTCTGTGTTGATGACAGGCCTAAAACCCCAACAAGTTCCAACACAGGCTGCTGCAACATGGACAAAATAAACCACACTCCTCACTGTGTTCAGACACTTTGAAGAAATGGAGGGTGACTTTTAAAAGATTGCTTTGGCCAAATAAAACTCGAGCTTGCACCTTTCCAGATGTCCAGCCAGGAACCCCCAGGTGCAAGTGAATCAGCAGACAGGGGCCTCTCATCTGAGACAGCACAAGGCCCATGTGTCCACAGGCAGCTGGGCAGGGGCTGAGCTCTTGGCTGTGCTTAGCTTCAGATGTGGCCCGGCTGAGGCTGATTCAGGGAGAAACACTGCCTCTCACTGAGTCATGAGCCCGTCTTGGAACTTCGCAGAGTTCTGCTTCGGTAACTTTCCCAGTGTTCGTGGTTTACCGTCCCCAGCTGACAGCTGAGTCCAGTGCGGTGGGACAAGCGGTCCTACAGAGGGAGGGTGAGTGATGGTGTGTGGCAATGGGGAGGGTGAGTTACTATTTAAAAGACTCGGTCAATGCAGGGAGGTTTCAGAGAAAAACTTGAAACTCACCAGCTGAACCTAAAAGCAGACAGAAAACCCAGGAGATTTACCTGTGGTAGAGAGCCCTTTCCACCTGCATTTCACCACATAAGCCAACACGAAGCAGCATTGCTGAGAAGGCTTACAGAAGACCTTGGCTCGGTTGTGAAGTTAGCAAATCAATACAGCAGTAGTTAGTTCTGTGGCAATTATAATGGGGCAAAGGAGGAGTTCATCAGACTTTTATCTAAAAGACATTCCTAGCCAGGAATGTCTCTTGTCCTCTAACTGTATATAGTCTTGGGTGGTGTCTAGTTTAAGGTTGCTAGAATTTGTTAGAACCCAGACTCTCCAGGTGCTGCTGCAAAAAGCCTACAGATCTGGTCCCACCCACTACAGGCTCTTTTCCCTCGTGGTTACTATATAAAAGCTGGCAGGTCACACGCTACTCTCCCAAAGAACCAGATCTCAACCCCACCTCACCCCAGGTCCATGGCAGCTTGACTGCAGTCACATATTAACTCAGCCCTACTCCCCTATCCCGGGTCTCTGTGACCCCCTGTCATGGAGCATAGGTCACATATTAACCAAGCTCCTTTCTCACAGTCCAGGATCCCTGCTTCCCCCAGAAACCTTTCAGAGTAAGCACCTAACTCTATCTTCCTTCCAGGATCGATGCCTCTCACTCCAGATCCCTGCCATCTGGTTTGCTTCCGTGTTAATACACCTCCCCCTGAAGGAAATTCCATTCAGAGCCTTTCTCTTGGATCCCTCTTTTCTTCTCTCCCTCTCGCAGACCTAACATACAGACAGACAATAGACAGTTTCCTGGAGGCAGAGACTCTTCCAGGACAGTGCTTTTGAGTCATCATCCAGGCTAGGATGAGACTTTTGGTGACACATTGCCTTTGAGTGACACATACTTCCGAAGCAACTCAATAAATTCATTGGTAGAATGGATTTTTTTGTTTTGTTTTGTTTTGTTTCTTGGTTGGTATACTATCTGGGGTAAAAGACCTTTCTTAACATCATTCTAGAAAGAAAATCAGGGTAGAAGATCTGCAGGCAACTGATCTGGCTCTTTCCCTATTTATGTGTGAGATGGGGTGACTTGTGTCCTTGCTCTTGTGGCAGTTGCATGACTTCTATGGATAATAACACAGGCATTTACTGAGGGTAGAACATTCACAGGGAGATCCTGACATGGCCACCTTTCCCTGTGAGGTCATAGGATGACATGCTTTCAAGATATGATGGCAGTTGGGTGGCTCTTGCTATGGGTGATAAGATGTGTAACTGTGGTGTGACACAGGTGCCCTTTGATGCCTAGTTCACTAGATAAGATATCTTGCACTGGCTGGAAAGCGAAGATAACTTAGTAGGAACATAGAACTCTTTGAGGTTGTTAGTGGCTTTGCTGGTGGAGCATGGTCTTTGTAAGGTAGAGACTCTCTGGCTGATTTGAGTGACTTAGAGTAGCATATAAATTGGGTTTATAAGTCCTAAGGTAACCAAGAAGGGGGTGAGACAAAAGAAAAAAAGATACAAGGAGCTATCAGAGTCACTTGAGAACAAATCCAGCAGAAATGCTGTTGCACTGTTTCCTACAGGGGATAAATGACCAGGAAGACAAAGGCTGTGCTTGTGAGCCTTTAGAAGTTCTTAAAGCCCAGACAACAGTTCACTAAGGGTATGAATCTTGTATGGTGGTGAACACCTCAGCTGTTTCCCAGAGGAAATGACCAATGTTGCCTGCAGATGAGGTCCATCTAAGACAGCACAAGTTGAACTGTGGATCTTTTGGTCCTCTGGCAGGTGTATGGAGTACTTGGGTTTTGATGGATGCTGGAGTTGAGTACAACTTAATTTGCAGCAAAGAATCCCCAGACCAATATGGAGCTAGAACTTTGTAGACGGTAAGATCAAACTTGCCTAAGAGCTAGGCAGCTATTTCCCCCACCCCCCGTACATTTCTTCCTTGCAGGTATGAGTACTGAGTGGAAGTGTTACTAAGATATACCCTGCATATTACCATTGGAGAGTTCTTTTGGGAGATATAAACTGGGTGAAGCAAGAGCCTATAAAAATTGAGATTATTCACTTAGCTGAGGTACCCTCAACAGACAAGTTTGGTATATTAAGAAGCCAGACAGCTCATGGGAAATGGGGATTATAGAGAGCTGAATAAGGCAAAACTCCCATCTATGCTGCTGTATTGGTGTTACTGTTTTGACAGAACAACTGATATACGTGATGGAATCTTTTCATGCTGTAGTAGACCTTGATAATTAAAAATTATTATTGTTAATTATTATTTTATTAATTTGTATCCCTTCTGCTTCTAAGCCCTAGTACCAATTTGTACTTGCTCTGCACAGGTGGTATGATTCTTCAGAGATCCTGTCCACACTCTGAGAGAAGGTTTTATTATAGATTGATTGCTAGCCCCTCTATTTTAATATATATATATATACATTATAGGGTTTCTCTGTGTAGTTTTGGAGCCTATCCTGGCACTCGCTCTGGAGACCAGGCTAGCCTCGAACTCACAGAGATCCGCCTGCCTCTGCTTCCCGAGTGCTGGGATTAAAGGCGTGTGCCACCAATGCCCAGCTTAAAATTTTTTATATTTTAAATGTGAAAGAATAGTAAAGCCAGTGGTTAGAGGATTTAAACAAAGGTGGCATCCTAACTGGGAGGAAAACAGTACAGAGGTAACTGACTAAAAATCTCAATGCCAGTGTTAGGCTACCTTGTTATGAGTTGTTGGCCAGGAAAGGCCCTGAGTCCTTCCCCCATACTTGCTATTGGTACTGATTACACACCAGAACTTGGTGGCAGGTCCCTATCGATAACAACTCCAAAGGCTTTGATTGTGGGGCATGGAGAACACATTTCAAGTATTCTCCTGCTGACTAGAATTTCCTAGTGTTGGAAGACGTCATGTGGGATGCTGGGAAGAACTATTGTCGATAGTTCTGCTTGCTCATGTACCCCTGTATTAATGCTACGGGCACCCCAACATCCCAAGCAAGATGTTTTTCCTGGTGCAACAGTAGCATGATTCTAGTTGGATTTACAGTCACTCCACTGCAAGGAATTGATATTGGAGGTGGCCTGTAAACTCCTGGGTTGTTAGAATTAGTTTGTCTGTAGTTGCAAAATTCAAGTCAGTTTACCATTTTTAAGGTTAGTAGGAGAGGGCTTTCGAATCCTCATTTAAAGGGCTCATCTGGCTAGGTCATACCCACCCCAAATGAACTTCCCTTAATTAACCCAGTGCCAACTGATTAGGGACATCAATTACATCTGCAGGATCCTTTCACTTTTAGTACATAGCAGTTTGAAACCATGGGAATGGCCCTCATTGTATCTGCAGACCAGGTCCATACCAAGGAAAGGGGATTACACAAGGACTCCTGTATCACAAGATGTGCATGGTGGAGGCCATTTTAGAATTCAATCAGAATTTTAATAGATATTAAGCAAGCAATTACAGGTAAAAATGAACAGCCCTGTCAACTTTTCAGCCAACCTGTGTGGATATTTTCTGCTGGCCTGGGATTTGAGAACCTGAAAGAATAGGATGGACTACAGTCTACTGTTGTAGACAACCTTACTTCAGTTCCAGTGTATTTTTATACACGAATGTAACAAAGAAAGCAATGACCTAAAGAGGGTTGTTTGGGTTCAGAAAAACATGTTTAAAAAAAGGTCTGTAAGCACATGCTAAATATTGACAGACCAGCCCTTTCCCAGAACTTTCTTAGGACAGACCAATCTCAACACAATTGCCTAGCGTGTACTATAGATTCTATCTGGGAAAGCACAAAAACAAGGCAGAAGGCCGTATCCAGATTCAGGGCACACTGATCAGATTGGCTTCTGTAGCTATGTTCTGACATCTAACAAGAATAAACATGTCTTTTTTTTTTTGTTGGTTTTTTGAGGTGGGGGTTTCTCTGTGGCTTTAAAGGCTGTCCTGGAACTAACTCTTGTAGACCAGGCGGGTCTTGAACTCACAGAGATCTGCATGCCTCCCAAGTGCTGGGATTAAAGGTGTGCACCACCACCGCTCTTCAAATAAACACGTCTTATAATTTAAATGTAAATGTTTGTCACAGGAGGCATGAAATCACATCTAAGAACAATCCAGGGAACAAAATGCACCTGAGGTAAAAGGCCCTCTGCCTTTCTTCCTGGAGGCTCTCTTATAGTTCCCCAAGGTATTGTTCATCATACATCATACTTTTGACTGTGTTCTGACACAACCCAAACTGTGTGAAACTCCATGAAGGAGAGTCACAGACCCCCACAGAGTGTTAGAGGGAGGGGCTTCATTTCTCTGAATATTTGGAAAAGGTTGTCAGATAAGTTTACATCAGCCGAGCTAAGATGGAAATGAGTGTGGGGGCAAAAAAGGGAACAGAGGCAGGGTAAGATGACATACAGGATGGGGCGGGGGCGGAATCAGAAACAGCCTCAATACGAAGCAGAGTGAACTTCTCTGACTTACCCAAGTATCCCAAATATTTAGTTTCTGAAAGTGAAGTTGAGTGTTTGCACCGTGGAAGGAAGTAGACAACGTTCCTAAAGGTCTCTTCACTTCTGTGACCGAACAACTCAGGGGAGTCTGCCAGTCTGAGTGTCTTTGAGAACAGAAATGCAGAGAACAACACAAGCTCAAGACCAGTCTGAGATGGAGACAGTCTTGGGTGAATCATACACACACGAGCAAAAATATCCAAGAACCCAAAGCTTGGGGTGGTTCCATTGCTTCTAACTCCACATTAGAGTATCCAAGCATTATCTTCTGTCTTTGATCACTGTAACAGCTCCTTGCTTGGTCAGAGTGAATAGAGAAAAGATTGGGAGAAAAAGGGCTCAAGCTGGATATCGGAATGTTCTTGTCAGCACTTTGGGAAAGCTAACAGATGGGAAACGTTTTGCCCACTCTTTAATAAACATGTGCTGAGTTCTGCAAAGAGTTGTGAAATCCCACAGGGTCTCTAAAATACCCCTTCCTTTAGCATCCCAAAAGCTAAATATGAAATAACTAAGATGACCCAAAGCATGTGAGTGTCTGAGATGTACGCTAAATTTAAAAGTGGAGAGTTTTCATTTGATCAAATTATAGGTCTTTCCCCACTAAGTTCCCCCCCCCCCTCTCTCTCTCTCTCTGTGTGTGTGTGTGTGTGTGTGCTTTGTTGGGAAGATTCTAGAAAGATGACTCGAAGCACAAGAGTGTTTGAAAGCTTGAATACCAAAACTGCATTTGTTGCCAACTTTGCCAGAGATGGCTGTGTGGAGCAGCAAGCATTCTAGGGAAGAGTTAAAACCTTCTCTTGAACAAAGACTGTGTTTTAAAGGCTGTAGTTACAACACTGATACATATGTCACTATCTGGTAGAATGTATTGCAAACATGAATCCCTTTTATCAGGTAATTTGCATACCCAGGAAGGCTTTTATCATTGGGAGAATGAGCAAGCACTCCTAGGCTTGTTTCTGTATGAACACAAGTGCCTCCAGCACTTCTCTTTCTGTCTCACGGTGTTTCTTCCCCTTTTACTATGTGTCCAGATAGTTACACTGTACCCTTGCTGCTTCATCCGCTCATGAGATAGAAGCAATCAGGATCTTAGAAGCATCTTGGGATGGATGGGTGGACAGCAACCTCCCTTCTTCTGGTTGGGATGTCTGTAACTAATTCGAAAAAACAGTGTTGCCAGTCACCTCAAACTCCTTGAGTCCCTAATGGCCATGTTAGGTAGACACAGAGAGGCTCTGGCACCCAGTTCAAACACAGCAAAGGGCCATTTGTCAGCTCCTCTGCCTTTACTATAAACGTTGAAACATTGGGTATGAGGGGCTCTGTTCCTAACTGTAGATGGTTCACTCAAGTGTTTATAAACTGCTGTGCTTGTTTGCCAAGGTTTGTTTCCCTATCTTAGCTATTCATTAGAATTCCCAGGGTTCTTCCCAGGATCTCTCCCAGAAACAGGAATTTAGGGATTAGGTCTAGAATTCCTAAGCCCCTGCCCCCGCCCCACTGCCCCTGAGAGATTCTTATCTTGAGGCAGATATTCAGAAAATTCCCATGCTCTCTCTTCTCAATGGGATTTTTAAAGGGAAACTGTTAAGAGGGAAAGCCTTCGGCTGGGTGATTTAGGGCTCAATGGTGAGTGCAGAGGCACTTTGCATGCCTGAGACTTTCAGCACAATTAACTTCCAAATTGCAGAGCAAAATTCAAGGAATCTCCATCCAACCATTTGTTTAGCAAATTGTCTGGGTCAACTGCTCAGGACCAGGCACTGTTGTTGACATTAGGGGCAACGCAGTGAAAAGCCAGTTCTGGCCCCTGCTCGCTCATAGAGCAGGCTCTGTTTTGAAAAAGAAAAAGATAGAATGTCAGTCCTTCAAATTACAGTCCCTGTACTTAGCAATAAAACACCGATATTATAGTTGGACAGTGCCCTACAAAGAATGACATGGGATGACAGTTGCACACTGTTAGATAGCCTAGAATGCCTAGCATGCATTGGATTCTGTTGTAGGTGGCTTGGGGTCCATCAGTGAGCACAGCAGGTAAAGATGCTGATCTCATGGAGCTGACACTCCGGTGTGGCTATAACACTAGAAAACATGATACATTAAGTAGCGAATTGAGTATTTATTGCCTTGGGTGGCAAATACTATGGTTCTGTGATGGGGATAGGAGTCAAGGAGGAAGCAACCAGTTGAATGTGCGGATGGCCTCACTGTTAAGGGGGGGGGGGCGGTATTTCAAATGAAGACTTACAGATGCAGGATTCAGAAGCTGGGACAAATTCTCTCAAGTGGGGAAATATTTTTAAAGAAGAGCAAGTGAGGGCAGGAAGGTCATAGCAGATGTAAGCTGGGATCATTTAAGGAC